TACTGACCATAAAGCATTAATTTGGTTGAAAACTGTCAAGCACACAAATAGCAGGCTAATTCGCTGGGCTCTCATTGTTCAGAAATACGATTTTGATAGTGAACATCGCCCAGGTAAGAAACATACCCATGCTGACTGTTTATCACGAACGGTATATTTCGCCGGGTCATTTGTCTTGTCACATGATAAACCCGCGTTTATTTCCCCATAACGATAACAAGATCCACATTCATTCCTTATATTTACATTGGTTTATCTTTTGTGATAAAATACGCTAAAATGTTCTATTTTTTAATTGTTAAAATACCCGAAACCGTTGTTGCTTAATTCACCGATATCTGTCAATCAAGTTCACCGATCCGCCCCTAACAATATAGTTCTATAAATAGACAGTCTTATTTGGATGATAGAATTATCAAATATTTAATATTCCATTGAAATATTAACAACAATTGTAAAATTAAATAAATTGTAAAATTAGATTAGACTCTAGGTAAAAAAACTTTGGTCAATCCTTGTTTTCGTTTTCGATGTATTCATACGCCTTATTGTCACGTGACAAACTACAGTTATTGGAAAATAAACGCCGGTTTGGCTAACTTGTTTATTGAAGGGAGTGATAGTAGAAATGTAAATATATTATAATAGCCTATATAACAACATGTAATATTGTCTAAGAATATCAATTATATAGTAATGCTAATCAACTGTGTTTCATGTTTTTGATAATCTTAGATAATATGACAGCTAATATAAATAGTTAGCTCATTAAGTTACCCAATGTATATGAATTGAATGGCGACTGATAAAAACATCCCTGAGGCCTATGATGCAATGACCAATATAAATATGACCAGCAAACATCAGTCGTCACTAATTCATATTACATTGTACAACATTTCAGATCTTATTATTTACAAGCTAAATCCAAAACCCGAACTCAAGCATCAAGGACAGTCCTGACACTTCGGCTTAGAAAACCATTTCAACCCCCAGAGCCACACAGGCGAAACCCCCTTACTCCAAGTCGTTGCTACATCTTCGGTTCAGTATCGATCACCCCCGTCGATACTACTGACTATTAGTGCTACCAATTAATACCACAAGTCGCACTGATAAACCTGGTAGAGATTTGCCGAAAGATCTCATATGACAGGAGTAACGCCTATCAACTATAGAGAAAAGCTGAGAAGTGCGCAGAAGTGTCCAGAAAATCAACTACAGAAGAAAACATCAAACCATCAAAATATACAGAAGAAAACACACAGCAACTACAAAAGACAACCTACAAAATGCAAGGAATTACCATGAAGAAATTCCTCGGCAGCAACACAGAAGTTGGTAGTCAATATTTGGATGAATTCAACAACTATCTAATAATTCAACACGTGACCGACAAGCAACAACAGGCAGCTTGTCTAGCTCACCATTTGGAAGGTAATGCCAAAGTTTGGTATTCTACACTAGACGAAGAGGTGAAAAATGACTTTAAGGCTTTACCAGACAGTCTCAAACGTGCATTCCCTTACAAATTTGACATATCTGAATTCATGGCAGCCGTTAAACAACAAACAACGGACACAATCGACAATTTGATTTACAAATGAAATGAAATGAAATGAAATGCATTAAGGAGCATCAGCACCAAACGGGCTATATAGCTCCAGAATACGTTAAAATAATCAAAAAAACTAAAACAATAAAGCACCTATCAATATCACATAGTGACAAAAAACCGATAAAAACCGTATCACAGAAACAGTCATTTAATGACTACAAATAACACTAAAAACAATATCACAGGTACTACACCACATGGTGGTATTAAAAACAAATAAAATATGTAAAACAATGACTAATCTATTTAAAATTTAAAATAAAGACCGGCTTTTTTTTAAAAAGCCACAACCTTCTCATAAAGAGAAGGTTGCGCAAATAATTGATGTAAAGATCCAGCACGGTAGTGCTGGGATCTCAAAGGTTTGAGATGCTTGCACTCAATCAGAATGTGTTTCACTGTCAGGCGGACCTGGCAGTCCTCACAGACTGGTTGAGGCTTTGATTTACAAAATAAAGTTCATTGGCTGCACTGAAAGAACTTCCAGAAAAGCAGCTGGTAGACATAACAATACAAGGTATGCTACCAGAAACTCGAATCACTGTTTTAAGTAAAGCTCCGGAAGATTTAACAACCCTGAAAGAAGCTTTACTCCCATCAAAGAAGATATCAGCAATACCTAAAACAACTACAGCTGCAACTGCATTGGATGCCAAAGCCATATCTGATATTGCATCAAAAGCTGCAGAAGAAGCTACAGCTTTAGCATTGAAAAGTGCCGAAATAAAGATGGTGGACAAAGCAACTAGACCTACTACAGATCTTCAGACTACAGACCTACACATTACAGAACAAAAAACAACTTAGGTAAGTACTTTCAAAATAATCGTCTAT